GACATGCATCTCCTAATATGAACTTTCTACATGTTTTGGTAACAGGCTAGAAACTTACTTTCATAGTAACCTCATCACATTGCAGCTTTTTTAAAGGGAAGGCTGAAGGTGACACTTTGTTAGTACTTAAATAATAAACATTAAGTTTTAGGACCATGCCTGTTACTCAAGTGATACACTGTTCATTGCAGGTACTGAAAAAGTTAATCAGTGGAGGCTGTTACAGTATGAAGTTATCTTTAGGTCAAGTTTGGAAAGAAAGCAAATTATCACATTTGCTGGAAAGCAAGATTTCTGGAAAGCACATTAAGGTTTTACTCTATAGTGCTGGGGGAACATATTTATCGTAGCCCGTAACACCTAAGAGACCTCTAACTGAAATTAAGTGGCACTTGAAATTTGATGCATCTTATCCTTCAGTGACAGACTAAGGGCTCCAGTGCGGTGGTACTCTGCTGGGCTTGCAGCTCACACCTGGGATGCAGTGGAGGCAGTGCTACAAAACCTAAAGGTTTTACTCTATAGTGCTGGGGGAACATATTTATCGTAGCCCGTAACACCTAAGAGACCTCTAACTGAAATTAAGTGGCACTTGAAATTTGATGCATCTTATCCTTCAGTGACAGACTAAGGGCTCCAGTGCGGTGGTACTCTGCTGGGCTTGCAGCTCACACCTGGGATGCAGTGGAGGCAGTGCTACAAAACCTAAGTGCTAAACAAACCGCCGTGCCTCACTCGCGCTACAGCATGGCAACACTCACAATACATCAACTGCAATAAAACACCCAATGCAATCGCTTTCAATCCATTCTACCAACGAGAAAAAGAACTAAAACAGGCTACAATTACAAAAAGGAAATGGGAAAGAAGAAATCGAAGGCAATTGAATAACCTTATATCATATAAGGAATAAAAAAATCCATAGGTAAAAAAATTAGAGCAGTAAAAAAAGATACCTATTAGTGGCTAAAATAACTCTCTGTAAGGGTTCCCAATGCCTTTCTTTTAGCACTGTGTACTACAAGGGAAGCCTAAGGATTATCAACCTAGACGATGGGAAATAGACAACATTGCAAACATTTACATCCTAGATTTCCATTTATATTATATTCATAAGTTCTTCCACACACAGATACGTGACATCTCCACCACTGCAACAGCTATTTGCTCTCCCAAGTCAGGGTGCTGGACTGCCTTCATGCTTTTGAGAGCAAAAAAATGTTTTACTCCACCCAGGAGGGGGAGTATCTTAAATATACCCAAACGTTTAGTTATTAACCTACTTAAAACATTTGTCCCTCATTTGAATGCCAAAGTAGAGCAGATTGCCACTAGATAATCATCAATACCTCTTTTGTTGCTAGTTTTTGGAGAAATTACCAATTTCAGGAAAGAAGTTACACTTCAAGTTACTTTCAAGCCAGTCTCCTAAGCATACATTACACTGGAGACCTGCGCCCTTAGAACTTTTTCAAAAGTTACCAAAGATACAGCCAAACCAGTTGCTACACCTCTTGCACCAGCTTTCTCCCTTCAGTTGTACTGTATAGCCACAGGTGCCACTACCTTAATTCTGTTTCCTCAGCAGGGAACCTGCTTCCTTCCTAACTCTCACTTCAACTATTCTGCATCTTCAAATTTAAGGGGATTTTGTTAACGTGACCTCAGCTCCCCTTCTTGGTTTTCTTAAACAGAAGATATACTGGACAGATTTAGCAGTTCATGTTCACATCAGTTGTCTGTTCTAGCATCTCACTTTACTGTAGCAGTGGGGTGGGAGACAAAAATAAACCTCCTTTTTCCTCATCCCAGCTGAGACACCTTGGACCACAACTCATCTGCCTTTTTTTTTTTTTTTTTTTTTTGATTAGGCTCACTGGAAAAAAAAACCTGAAATAATCATGACATGAATTAAGGCATTCACAGACACACCAGAGATGTGCAAAAGCCTTTAAGTCATGTTTAACGCCTCCATGGCTTTTTGGAAACAAAAACCCAAACAGTAACAGAATACTCCTGACACTCACTGTTCCTGTAAACTTCAATTCACCTTGGTCTCAAATTCCATGCGCACCATGTTTCATTTTGTTTCTACAGATAGAATTAAATTTTAGACAGGAGAAAAAAGATACCAGGTTGCATGCATCTTACTTCTTGTTTCAGCTGTGTAAAAAAACCCAGCACACTGTTTAGTAGTAGTTTTTCTTCCAATCACTTGGAAGGTTCTTAGAAGATCACAAATCGCTAAAATACCCTATTTCCCATCACTTCCTTGTCGTATCATCACAGAAAAAAAATTGCAAGTGCCAGTCTACCGAAATTCCCACTTGTATAATACATAATTTCTTTTCTTACATCAAAATACATCTGATTTAAAAATGTGTCACATAGGAGTATAGCTATGTGCATGTTAAATAGGCAAAAAAAGAGTTTAAAAGTCACTTTTCTTCCCAAGACAAAGTTATTCTTTGAGAAAACAAAGGTTTCCATGTTACAATCACACTAGAGACTAAAATGAATTTGAACAGAAATATAAGTTGGGCCAGACAACGAGAGAAAACTGCTTTACATTTTAGTGTGATATTGATTCCTCTTCTTGGTGGGGAGGTGGTGTCAGGCAGCAAGAGAAATACCTCATCTTAAAGAAAAGAACTGAAGGAAACATGAAGCCATCTTTATATACTTAAGATTCATTTACTGGAATGCTGAAGCTACCTTAAAGGCCTACAGGAGATCCGGCACTTGTCTAATTCACGGCAGGTTTCATGGCAATTGTAGCAATTTAGAAGGCAAAGGATAGCAGAAATAGCGGTCCCTGGTCGTAATCACCATTTTCACATGAAGCATACTTCATGCATCCATCATTTTACCAATTAGATACTAATTATATGATACCTGATAAATTTTGCTGTTAGCAAGCCATTCGAAGTCAGTAAACTTTGTTTTTTCTTAAATAGTCAAGCATCTGACACCTTAACGTCTGATATACACACTATTCTTTATCCAGTTTAACAATCTGGCACATTTACAATACCTCAGAAAAGGAAAAGAGGAAGATCCGCATTGGTCTCCAACATAAAGGCTTACCCTCAGTCTCAATTTATCAAAACCTATGTTCCCATGCAGAATATAAAAATCAAAAGTCCCGCACCGCAATGCAACCGAACCATCTGCACTGGTGCTGTATTTTCTATACAACGGCAGCGTACAGACTTAGCTTAGATGAGAAAGAAATAAAACACTAACAAATCACTACTACAAATGTTTACTAAGGATAGTTTATAGGGGTTGAATTTCCTTTAATACTAACTTGATTAGAAATCTTGACCCTATCCCTTACAAGGTGAATTAGAGCTCTTAATTATTCCAGTTTTTCTACTGTTAATGAAATGGAATGGTGTCATTAGTGAGGCTTGTCAGCTACACTTATGTGCAAAGAAATGATCTGACACTGCTTTTGTAATCTAATCCTTTCAGGAAAACCAGTCAGAACATCACTCAAGTACTGTAAACAAAAATCCTTGAAGACAAAGAGGACAGATGGCAACACTCTCAAGGAACACCATCTAAAATATTCATAGTTTAGGAGAAAAGGACTGTTAACACTGTGAATAATCAATACATTTGAACCTTGGGGAAAAAAAAACCAACCCACAACAAACCCAAAATATTTTCTGTTCATGAAATGAGCAGAGAGATGTGTAGAGATACTAATTTTTGCTGAAGACTACTTGTATTCAGTGATTCTACATACTACATAACCATTTCTCACTATCAGCATCCAGAAGCAGCAGGCATAAATGTGATCTATGTGCACTTTTGTTGCAAGGCTCAGTTATCACCCCATCAGTCCTAGCTACAAAGCAGCAAAAACATTTAAGGCAAGCTTATAAACTGTAAGACTTGATTGTTACTGCAATTACACAAGAAAAAGCCTTGTCCATCCCTCCCTTTCCCCCTCCTCCCATTTTATCTACAATTCGAGACTGTTAAAATGTCAAGTACTATGCTTAATAGCTTCCTTTGCTAAGAGTTAATTTGAAACAAATGTTATCATAGATGTGTGAAGCTACAAAACTATTGCTGAAAAGACAACTACAGCAAAAGACAAAAACAGTGAGATGTACTAAAGACTTGAAATCAAAAGGAAACAAATCAGAATGATACACAAAACAAGGGGAAAACGCTATAGTACAGAAACTGCTGTCTGTCTCTTCAAAACAAGAGCTGCCATGAAGACAATGTATAATTACCTGCATCCATATCTGCAAAGAATGGAACAGCCAGTAAGGAAAAGAAGGAACCAGAAATTCAGTGTCTCAGAGTTGGATTTACAAATTCATAAGGAGTAAGGAGAATAAATAAAAAAAAAAAAAAAAAAAAAAATCAAAAAAGTATTTAGTGTAAGATACACCTCTATAGGGTACTGTGATATTTTTGATTTCAAGCTATAAACTTGGATTAATGTTAAACACTACAACGTTTTCACATATAAATTAATTTTCTATGGCATAAGAACATTAAAAAAAAACCCAAAAAAACAGCTTCAAGATCAAAGATTTAATATATTAAACAAGGAACAAGTTACATCTTTAGCTTAGGCTTGTGAAGTTTTTTTACTCTCCCAACATCACAAACCAAAGGGCCCAATTCTGCAGAAATCCAGTACTACATACAGTAAACATGGCTTTCAACAGCCAAACTGAAAGCAGCAGCGCTACTGAGAGCAGTCAATTCTTCTCAGTACAGGACTAGAAGTTTCCCATATGGACACATACTGGATGCTGAAGTATTTAAGGATGCTAAGTAGTTATGAAAAAGCTACAATTATATTCATTGTATATACTTATCTCAGTCTGGAGAATGTTAAAGGAAAAATCTCCATGAACTTTGAAATAGCAAATCAGATTCTTTACTGATTCATTTCTGCATGATTAAAAATTAATAAAGATGTAGTTTGTGGAGAAAAAAAAAATAGTGAAATTTGCATATCCACATACCTTCAGGTGATTCCTCTTGGACGTATGTGCCAGTCAGATACCGATGTACAAGTGCAGATTTGCCACTTGCTAGGTTACCCACAATCCCCTGGAAAAAAAGGAAAAAAGTTCATCTGCAATTAATCCCTGTAAAAAGCAGAACATCAAGCAAAATCTTAATGCAGAAATAAATTCTCTGCACTTGAGGAAAAAGCCCACACAATAGAAACACTCCAAAATAGGCCAACAGATAAAGTAACTGCCAAAAAGCTAAGGCCACAGCAGAGCATATACATGACAAAATATATAAACCAAAATCAGTTTATGTTAGTAGCACGCCTTTATTCAGCTTGCCACTAATGCTAAGTGGGAACATCAGGCAATATATAGACTTCAGGGAAGAAGCTTGAAGCTCAGAGCAAGCTTGTCACCTCTTTCTGAAAAATATAAACACATCACTAAATTCTCATACTGGAAAATGTCTCTGTAGGCTATCCACTACGTGATTCACATTGACTCGCTACTGAAGCACACACATGATATATACGGCTATGGACAGATAGATCTTGGCATGTCCACTATGACATATTGAAGTCCCTTACTTCACCAAAACGTTTACAACTCAAACCGTCCATGCCCAAACATCTGCACTGGGAACATCTGACAACCAAACAGAAGTACTAGGAAACTCCCTGGTCTGGTATGGCCTTCTGATTACTACCCGCGGTTGGTTATACAGGCTGGCAGTGATGAGGTTGCAGAGAGAAGTCCTGCAGTGATGAAAAGGGACTTCAGGGCACTGGGGCAAGTGGTTGAAGGATCGGGAGCACAGGTAGTGTTTTCCTCAATCCCTACAGTGGCAGGGAAGGATACTGAAAGCAACAGGAAAACACACCTGATCAACACGTGGCTCAGGGACTGGTGCCGTCGGAGAAATTTTGGCTTTTTTGATCATGGGGAGGTTTACATCAGCTGTCTCACAGGGGAAAAAGGATCATTGCTCATGAATTGGCAGGGCTCATTGAGAGGGCTTTAAACTAGGTTCGAAGGGGGAAGGGGATAAAACCAGGCTCACTAGAGATAAGGCTAGGGGTGGGAAGCCAATGCTGGGGGCGAAATTGATAGCCCAGCTCAAGTGCATCTACACCAATGCACGCAGCATGGGCGGCAAACAGAAGGAGCTGGAAGCCATTGTGCAGCGGGAGAGATATGACTTAGTCGCCATCACAGAAACACAGTGGGGTGAGTGTCATGACTGGAGTGCTGCAATGGATGGCTATGAATGCTTCAGAAGGGACAGGCAAGGAGGGAGAGGCAGCGGGGTGGCTCTGTATGTTAGGGAGTATTGGTGAGTGTCATGACTGGAGTGCTGCAATGGATGGCTATGAATGCTTCAGAAGGGACAGGCAAGGAGGGAGAGGCAGCGGGGTGGCTCTGTATGTTAGGGAGTATTGTGATTGTCTAGAGCTCAGCGATTGTGATGATGATACGGTCGAGTGTTTATGGGTAAGGATGAGGGGGAAGGCCGGCAGATATCCTGCTGGGAGTCTGTTATAGACCACCCAACCAGGATGAAGGGGCGGATGAAGCGTTCTACAAGCGGCTG